ATATATGTGTGTTGAAAAAAATCTGCTTATAGTTTCACTTACAGATGAAGATAAATCTTAATTTCAATGCCACATTAAGTAATAGAGAAGTATCGTTAAACGATCTCTAAAGAAATGGAGGTAACATTGAGCTAGACGATGTAAGACGTTGATTATGATTCAATTCAGGTGCACAGAGTAAATTTATATGCTTCACGTACAATTCTAACCTTATCCAGTTGTTTTTTAACAATAAAGTGAATAGAATAGAACAGTTATAAGACCGCTCTGTCTGAAAGACTTCTCTGGTGGTTCATTACTACTGTGACACCCACAAGTTATGTTAGCGTAATCTTGAGCAAGTTATTTCTGTTTTAAAGCCTCAATTTACCTATTCGGTAAGGTTTTGTGACTTGTTGAGAACTTAGTATATGGTGAGTGAGTACAGGGGAGCTCAAAAACTGATCAAAGGAACTCTGTGCTACACTAGCCTTAAGACCAGAACTGTAGTTGATAACTAGTAACAATAGGGACAACTATACCAGAAGCCCGTTAACTGTAGGAAAAACATTGAGCTATTGAACCGACACTTGTCAGAACCTTGCACTGTTAATGGTAGCTGTAAGGTCGGGTATTCTTATTCTCTTTTTCTCTTTGTACTTTGCTAATCATCTATTTACTTTAACCTAAATTGTTCATATCGTTTGAGATTAATTGACGTTCGAATAGAGAAGGCAGTTTTTAACGCTCAAGGGCATTAATATTTACATTATATTCTACTGAGTCAATATTATAGGATTTATTTTTTCATCAAGATAGAGAGAAAATCATTTTGTTTCACATTATTACATCGATGTAAATAAGCAGAAAAATCTTTCCTTAAGTCTCAGTTATCAATTGAGAAATAAGTTATTGCGAACATCAGTCACTTATTACCAAAAAATAGTGGAATCTATTCATCCGTGATACCCACAAGTTCTGTTTTTTAATTTAGATAAGATATCATGAAGAAAACATTCCACTAATTTCCGTTAGACATCTTAAGATTTTTCAAATAAAAGCAACTGCTATATTTTGAGTTGAAATAAAAGTTTTACTACGTTATATGTTAAAATGAAATTTTTTATGAACAAAAATCAAACGTGTGCATTAGGCAAGAGAAAGAACTCACTACCTGGATTACTCTCTTAACAACATAGCGATGTATAATATAAAATGAAGTACAAAAGTTTAGAGCATTTTATCTTGTTTCATTTTTTTGAAGTATGTTGTTTCAAAAAATCCGAAGATTGATATGAATAGTTAACTTCAACGAGCTATTAAATGTATGTGTACGGTAATTATATCAAAAGTTTTGAACGCTTTTTCTTTCAATACTGAGATAAAAAGTCAGTTTCCATAAACAATCCAAAGTATCTTTACGATGACAAAACTTTTGTGACGAATTTAGAAGGACAGAATACGCGACTGTCTTTAAAATAAACGTCTTCGAGTTTTACACGAAAATGGATGCTAAGGCACACTTTCTTTATATATTTCTTTTACTGAAAGTTTTGCTGTGTTTGACTGGTGTTTCTGGTAACCATAAGTACTCAACAGAAGGTCGTGTAAAGCTTGAAGACGTTTGTTTTGAGGACAATTGTTTATTCTGTCCTTCTAAATTCGTCATGAAAGTTTTGCTATCGCAAAGTTAGTTCGGATTGTTTATGGAAACTGACTTTTTAATCTCAGTATTAGGTATGCACTAATTTTTAACTGGTGTTGGAGCATCCGGAAGAATTGCTATACATCAGTTATCACAATTCGCTCAGAGCCGTGAAACATTTCATTTTGTAGAAAAATGTTTGCTCTACAAAATGCATTTGTTAAAACATTTCCAAAATCATTTCTCAGAAAACTTAGAGCATTCGAAAATACATCAAACCACGGAAAAAAAACTGTTCGAACAGGGTTTTTTTCTTGATTTTGTGCATTTTAGAATGTTCTAAATTTTCTTTTTTAGAAATGATTTTGGAAATGTTTTAACAAATGCATTTTGTAGAGCAAACATTTTTCTACAAAATGAAATGTTTCACGGCTCTGAGCGAATTGTGATAACTGATGCATAGCAATTCTTCCGGATGCCCCAACACCAGTTAAAAACTGGTGCATACCTACTCAGTATTGAAAAAAGACGTTTAAAACCTTTGATATAATTACCGTATACATACATTTCATAGCTCATTGAAGTTTCAACTATTCATATTAATCTTCGGATTTTTTTGAAACAACATACTTTAAAAAGTTAAATATGACAAAATGCTCTAAACTTTTGTGCTTTACTTTATATCCAACAAGTTTTAGCAAATTGCACACATAGTTTTTGTATCAGGTCTTTCTTTATTGTAGAAGTTCAAGGGAGGTGGTCTTGTAATTACTAATAAAGTAGTTGTGACATATGACACATGAGTGTTGGTGCTGTAATTTGAATTAGTGTGACCATCTATGGAACTATTCACGTTTGATCAAAAGAGGATTAGACAGTCACTGTCTGTTCTTATTCTGTAAAAACATGAAGGTTTTTACTTTTAATAAAGTCAATGCCTTAAGCTTAAAAAGAAAGTGAAAAAAGACGGAACGAAGAAGATGACAACTGATGTATTGTTTTATCGAAAGAGAACAAAACAAAAGGAAAAAAGTATTCATTATATTAAACGTACAACTCTTTCTTGTAATTGTTGTACTATGCTATGTAAACACGTTCAAAATATCTGGCTGTTGTTTTTCTTTAGAAAAATGAGATTTTAAAGAAATTAAAGTTCTATGACAGGTTGTCCCCATCAAAAATGACTTTTTTTCTCTCTCTCTCGCTCTCTCTCTGTATAGTAAAAAGATTTCCTCTTTGTATAGCCAAAGGCAAACAACATAGGCTTTTGCAGTGTGTTCAAGGATCCGATGAAACTAATTAGAAAAAATAAAACGGTTATTTTTCTTTTTTTTTAATAATGAAATATAAGGATGGGTGGATGTAGGAGTTCGCTAATACTTGATCGTTTTCTAAAGTATTATAAACTCAAGTCAATATTAAGTGAGAGTTAAAAAATATCATATTTTCATAGTAAAATTCGAAGATTTTGCAAGTATTATTTATCATGATCAGTGATAGTACATTTTTTTTTCTCATTTCTTCATTATTTTTTGAGAAAAATTTAGATTTGTGAAAAGATTCAAGAGAAAGGATTCTGTCGCTTTTAAGAATATCGGTTAGTTACCATGAAATCAATAGATAACTTTATTTTAGCCTCATTTTGTGCAAAATGCAATTCTCTATCTTGTACGGTATAAAAATGTTGAGATGGATTGCGAATGCGGGAGCTTGAACATTGAGAAAAAATGGGTTTTCAGCATTCAGGTAGTCTGCCTATTTTGTACTTTTCCCATTTTCTATACATCATCAGTGGAAAATGAAGGCGTATTTGAAATCAACAGACAAAACTGGATCGAGTCATGTGTTACTCAAATATTATTAAGAAAAAACGTTTTTTGATGAATTTTGGCTTGGGTCCCGTCACCCAAAAGCGGTTTTTCCAAAAATAACTTTCGATTCAGTTTCAACTTTTTTATACCATACACAATAGAGAATTGAAATTTTGCACAAAATGAGGCTAAAATAAGGTTTAAGTCTTTGATCGTTTTTTTGCGTAAAATTGTTTTACTCACGCAGTCAATTTATCAGAACTGCTGTGTCAAAAGTGTACTGTAATTTTTCTATCAAAAAAATTGTAGTTCTCAGAGGACAATTTATTTTTTTCTTTTAAATATCAGAATTGTAGCACAGAATTTAAGGATATTTTTCTGTAGGTGTGCTCTTGCAGCAAGCGTTGTTAATGGAGCTACAGCATTTCTACTAACCATGATGTTTTTCAAAAAAATCATAAAAAAAGCTTTTAACTTTCGAGCATTTTTTCTACTCCCCTTTGTTTTACAACATAACGATGATAGATGTATATGCACACTAATCTCGACTATCTAATGACAAAAAGCATTTTTCGAAATAGTGTAAGGTTATTAGAAAAAAATATTTTTATTATACCGGTATCGCATAAGTATCTATCGATCAAACCTTTTAGGTTCTCAGGAACCATAGAAATATGTATCTTCTAAAACTCTATCATTATCTATTGATTTTTTTCATGGTAACTAAGTAGTATTCTTAAAACCGACGAAATCCGGTTATTTTTTGTTTTTTTGAATTCTGATGGTAACTTTAGTTATTTTAATATGCTTTTTGAACAAGATTTTTGCAAAATTGAAAACGTTCTAAGCTCTTTGTAATTGAATATAAAAATATTTTTTTTTTTGTATTATATACACATTCAGAAAAATGAGCATTAGTTTGTGTCATACTCTATTCTCTTAGTTGATATAAGAATAAAGAAAGTTAAATTGAGTGAGACCAGATGAACGTGCAAATCCATTTTTTTTTTTTTTATTATTATTGAGTCTATTTGGTTTTGCATAAGTAAAAAATATGATTTGTGTAGATGAATAAAGACTTTCGTGATATGTCACGAAGAATTTTGTCCGAATTTATTTTTTATGTCAGACTATAATAAATAATACATATGTCTTTCTACATTAATAATGATGATGATAATAGCAATGAAAAAATAATAGAAAAGAAAAGAATAATATCACTATGTAATAAATAATTGATAGATAGACGTTTGTTTGAACTGACAATGATTTACTAGTAGAAAGACATATTCTTTGCTCAAAGTTGAAAGATATATATGAAAGAAAGATTTATTAGTTAATTTAATAAGATGGATAGCACAGATAGATAACTTTTTAATCGGACTGAAATAACTTTAAAGCTCATATTAATTTTTTTGTTCTTAATTTCTATCCCTCCTCTTATTGAATATCTTTCTTTAAAAATTATAATATTAATAGATTTTCTTTGATGATTTTAGAATAGATTCAATGGCCCCTGCGAATTGGGCTATGTTTTCTAATTCAAAATGACCGTACCATTGATCATGTTGATATTAACGACGACGTCAGTACTAAATACACAAGGTTTTCGAACGATTGAAGGTATTAATTCTCTTTCTTTTTTTTCTTTTTTTTATCATACATCTTTAATATGTAATGATCTTTTATTTCTGGTTTTTAGATTGTTTTTATGAAAAATTACTTGGTACTTCGTTACAAGGTCATAACTATATGCACGAACGATGGCGTGATGAATATGATTGTTTTTATAAATGTTTACATCAGTCAAACTCAAATTATATGTGTAAATCATTTGAGTATTGGTTTGGAAATGATAAAACGAGTTTGTGTGTACAAGCAAACATTAGTATTACGGAATCAACACAATTAATGGAAAAAAATTCATTTGTTAATTATTATGAAATTAATTGTTTAAAAGATATTAAAGGTATGTGATTAACGATGATCTATACAATTTATTAAAACTTACTTCCTGTAGCTGTTCGTCCCGTATCAATCTTATGTCCCGGTGATCAATTGGAATTAACTGTTGCTTTAAACGGTATTGATGCAAATTATCTTTATCTTGGTGATATTTGTAAACCATCATGGAGTAATCAATCACATGCATTTTTCTCAACAAATATTGATCATTGTTCATTGGTAGATAATAATTCTGTAATAATCATATGAATAATTATTATAGAGAAAAAAGAATTTTCTTTTAGATTTTAACCAAGAGTGAAATTCGTGGTAAATTATGTTGGGATTCTGTTTATGATCAAACAACAACTAAAAAATATGAACGATATTTTACATGTTCATCAGATATTCATCGAATTCGAACTTACTCTTCAACATCATCATCTTTTATTCATACCACAACGCCAATATTTTCTAATGGCAACGATAGAGAATTTTCACCATCAAGCAAGTAAGTATCTTTATTAGAACTATTGATATTAAATTAATTTTATGATAAAAAAATTTATCTTTTATCTATACTTTTGTTGTATAGTAAAAATGACCATCCATCGTTTATATTTCAGAATATCTTTATTAACAGCAATTAAAAATCATTCTCATCAATGTAAAATATCATGTACAATTTCTATATTTTCTTCACTCCACGTAATAATCGAAGCAGATTATATTTCATCTCAATCTGATGAAATTTTAAATGAAAAATATTCTGATTATCATTTATGGATTGAATCATGTGATCTATTACCATTATCACCTTATACAAACTATATCCATCCTCAACGATTGATATTCAGAAAGTATGTATATATTTCGTTTTTATATATTCAAATTTTTATTTTATTCTATGTTTTTTTCCTTCTCTAGTTGTCCAACTGATCCAAATCTAATATTTCTTGGTAATAATACGTTACAATCGTTTTCATTTAATTTTAATGTTAATTCAATTTTAAAAGAGTCTGTACTTGTCTATATTCAATGTCAAATATTATTATATGATGATACATTAGTAATTAATGATCATTTTGATAAAGTAAATAATGGTTGTACACATCATCTTTCACATCGTTTAAAATTATTTTTAAATCATAAACAACAACAATATCATCATCGATACGATATTAATGATCGATTTTATTCATTTTATAATTTAACTAAATCTCATACAGATAAAGTAAAATATAGTCAAAAATTAAAATTATATAATTCTAGTCATTTCTATACAAGTCTATTATCATCAATGCCAACAGATAGTACTATGATATCTATGAATGGTGAGTATTTTACTATATATTATAAACTATGAATTACTTACTTATTGAGAATTTTTTTCCAGGTTCAGGAGTATCATCGTTATTCATTATACCGTCCAATATTGTTATTCTAATGTTTATATTCTGTACAATTATTATAAATGTCTAAAAAGCAAAATAAATTTTCTTAAAACAAAATTAACTCTTTATTTTCTAATTGTAATAAATTAGACATTTATCTTTTGAACATGATACTATATTTCACTCTACATACCTTTATTTAAAAACAAACGTCGTATTCAGTGTCAACAAGTCAATTAATAGAGAGTAGCTTTTTTTACTAGACAAAACGAATTTCTAACAGCAAGTCTATTCATGTTCTTTTAAAAAAACGTTTTTCAATAAATATCGACAGATGGATGGTGTTTGCATATACTCGAAACTCTTTTGCATCCGAATGAATTAACAAATTTTATTTTATGTATACACTTGTTTGTCTGTAAAGAAAGATACACATTTTTTTTTATTTTAATGTTACCAAACAGTATTTTTTTAATTTTTGTTAAATGTTATTGCTATTATCATAGTATTCAGACTAAAGAGAATAAGATTTAAATAGATATGGTACTGTGTTGAAGTAGAATAGACAGATGTAAACTCAGAAAACTGAAGTTCATAATTGTAACTAACGTTTTCTCTTACTTTAATAGATAAATTTCTATAAATAACAATATATCGTATATAGTTCTAGAGTGAAGAAGTGCAAAAAATGTACAATTTTACATATTCTCTTCTTTATCTATTCAGTTATATTGAGAATTGCAAAGATGGTGGACTCTGAAGCAAAAAATGGCCCTGTTAAAACCTAATTTTTTCTAAGCAAGTTTTTGTGCTCATTCTCTAAACTTTACAACTTATACACGTAACACATTCATTCTAGAAAGTTATTATATTCTTTTTCAACAAATAATATATCAAGAATGACTATTTATTGCGAATGGCTAGCCTTGTCATCATTCTTACCAGAAATGGGAATCGAATTGAAACTTTTTTGGGGAAAAAAAATTGATGAAGAAGAAAGATGGTCATAGCAAAACAGTTTTACTCTTTTTTTCTCACAGCTTGTACGTTATTTCAAAAATATATTTTACTTTTTTGCTTTGATATAACAAAGCTAGCAGATACTATACATTACAAAACAAGAGCGTAGAAGAAAGGGTTTTTAAAAAAAAAACCAAATGAAATCAGACCGATCTTACCTCCGACTTTTGCTAATTTAATATTTGAATTTGAATGTTTCGTCTAGTGAGAAATTTACTTTTATAAATGTGCGTCTAGATGAATAAAACTCAAAATTAATGAAAAAATTAGAACATCTATGTACGATAACACTAATACTTGGCTAAAACAAGGAAATATCGTAATCATATAGATTTGAAAAGACATCCTGTGGAAGTCTAAACGTATACTGTAATTTTATGATTGCATTTATGAATGATGGATACCGTTTTTCCACTCGTTCTCTTCGACCTTTCTTTCTTGCTGGAATTGAGTTGTGAACTTTGTCGCCTTGTTTTTTGGCAACTTGTAGTTCACGCTGAGCTTTTAGTTGTACTGACTGATTCTTGTTGTTTGCCGTAACATTTTCTACAGAGATTTCTATCAAAAGGAAGCTTTTGCGAAACAGAATTGAGAAAGAGTTTTGTTGGGATGACTACTTCTTGTTTTGGTTCTTAAACACAATTACAAGATCAAAAACATATGAAAACTATCTGTTTTTTCCTCGCATCGACTCAAGGCGGGAGACCGTGATATTCTGATCGGGCATGTCGAGAAATGGTGTTCACCTAAATTTGAGCTTGAAAGCAGACAAAAAATTTTCGTCCAAAATTTGAGGCAAAACACACTATTAAAAATCTGTGTTCTTCCGTTCTTTGGAGAACATAGCGAAGAGCACGAATGTGTTCTTTGAAAACTGAAGAATAGATTCCGCCTATTTTCTCGATTTTGTTCTTCAGCAGAGTTTTTGTTCTTCGAAAAACTAGTTCTTCATTTTTATAAAAAACACAAAACGAATTCTTGTTCTTCAGAGATAATTTTTGTTTCCCCAGATTTCTGAAGAACGTAAATCATATTTTTGTTCTTCAGAGAACAAGAATCCACAATCCATTAAAATATTTGTTTATGAAAATGCGTATATATCAGCGCAAATTGAGGAGAGACGATGAATGCGATCAAATGATAATAGCGACTACCTTCTACAAACTCTTTTTTGCGAACTGCATGATCATCCATAGCTTTTGTTGAAATCTTCTCTGGCAAACTTTTGATTTTTGGACGATTTCTTTCAGATTCTATTCTATCGTCGTTTTTTCTGTTTGTTTTCATTTGAGCTACAGAGAAAATTTAGAAGTAGAAGAGGACTTCGAGATTGTGAGGTGTAATTATTTTGTTTTTGTCTTCGTATTTGACCTTCTGTCTTTGCCAATTAGCTTTTTTAGGAGAAGACCGTTAGAAAAAAAGCTTATCAGCGAATAGTGTTTCGAGATTCATTTGTCAAATGTGTCTCCTAATCTAATTTATTTGTTCTATTTGAAGGTTTCATGAATTCACGTTTCCGAAAAAGATTTATTTACGAGAATGTTGCTCTACTCGGTTAATGCTATCTCATTTTTCGACTTTTCTTGCATTCCAGGTATTAGTCTATTGCGGGACATAACTTCGAGAATGTTATCATCAGAATCAAACGAATTCGAGAATGAAGTATTGTCGATAAGCGGATGCAACAGTGCTCGTTTAATTGATTTGTTTCAAAAACGGTTATTTAAAAATCATAAAAAGTTTTATGTTTTCTAGTTCTTAAAAACGAGTAGGCTAATTCGAATTTCCTTATTAATCGCAGCACTAAAAAGTCACACCTTGCTTGTAGTGAAACCACTTTTTTTAATTTTTGATTAAGGATTCAAAACGTCTGAGAAGCCCTTGGCCGTCGATACTAGTATGCCATGATTCCACTACTTATTTCAAAATTAGTTTAGATTCAAATCATCTTATTAAAACGGCTAATTTATTAGAAGCAGTAGTGACATGGGTAGATCGATTTCATTTGTTTAATATTGATTTTTTTAAAAGGACAAAAAAAGACTAATGAATTGTTTGATTTGATCCAAAACAATCGCGGTTAGTGTGAAAGTGCTGTTCGAACGTTATTTAAAAAATTAGAGTTACTTTGAGAACATAGAAGGAGATTTTTAAGACACTCATGAAATTTTTGCACAGTGGGGAACAATGTGGACATTTGGGCAAAAGGATAATTTGCAAAAAATTTTGAAAAAATTTTTTTTCAAATAATTTTATATTTCTGTATATATTCTTGTAGAGCATCAAAAGTTACATAAGAACTGTAATTGGTTTTTTGAAATTCTTCTGTTATCCTATCGAAAAACTAAGGAGCATATTTATGCA